GAACCGTGATCGAAACATCTTTCGTTTCGTCTCGATCTGACTTACCGTTGGAGTTTTACGATAAAAACCGCTAAAGACTTGTTTTCTCGTAAAACCTCGAGTAAATCATATAAAATGGCAGCGGTTAAACGAAACACTGGACATTGCCAAAACTATACGATTGACTCGAGTTATTTCATAAAAACGGCAGCGTGTCATGGAACAATCTTGTCTAAAATCGTAAAATTGCTAAGTCACAAAACGGCTCGTAAAGACTTAAAACGCGAGAAAGGCCCACTCATGACTTTAGACGAGATCCAGCCAAAAGACATGATGACGGTTTACCTATTATTTGCAGGAATGGATAAATGTCAAGTTTGAAGACAAAATAGAAGTTTTCCAAGGAAAAATAAGTAGATTGAGATACATTGAAGATTTCCAATAAACGCGAATTGGGGCTGAAAAGGAAAGACCAACCACCTAGAGGAGGAGTATATAAGAACAAGGACGAATTCAAGAGAAGAGGATCTAAGAACTATTACAACTTTTCTAGACTTAGAACTCTCTACACTTTGAAACTTAAGCTTTATTCTCGACAAGTTCGGTTTCTATGACTGGCGCTCAATTACCAGACAAACTCGCCCAAGCAGTTCAAAGCCTTTATTATCTCTTGTAATGATCGCAACGCTCTTACGCGAATTCAAAATTAGATATACTTTCTTTATAAATTTGTTTTATCATGTTTTTCCATATTTCCCCCATTTCTTTGGTTACTTGTCGTTGGCTCTCGTAGAGATACAGGTCCTCTGGAAAATTAGGGTTTTCCTAAGTTTCCTTATTTTATGGAAAATCGACAGTGCGAATTTCGGTTCCCACAATCAAGGTTGTCTGGACCATTCACAACATAAGAGGTGCCGCCTTATGGAGCCATCGTGTTGCTGGACACGAAAGGATCAGAGTTCGTCGTGAATGGACAATGTCTGAAGCCATACCTCGCTGACACAGTCATCGAAGAAGGGGAAGAAATTCCTCTAAGCAATCCATCCTCTGCCTAATAGGCAACCAAAGTCAAGCTAGTGAATTTAACCAAACGCTTGGTGGGTGGCAACCCACTGATAAGTGTAAAGTACTTTTAGGATTTTTCTTTGTTTTTCTTTTGATTTTGTTTCACTGAGTTTAAGAAAAAAGAAAAAAGATACCTCTGTTCTACGACCAGAGCATAGTCAATGAGCAAATGCAACCTGCTTCGCAAAACTGGTCCGCGACAGGTAAGTATCTCGGCAAAAAAAAAAAAAAAAAAAAAAATATAT